GCATGGACTGCTCTGGAAGATCAAATTCTCACAGATTACATCAAAACCCATGGTGAAGGAAAATGGAGAAGGATTCCAAAGGAAGCTGGTGAGTAGCATATATATGAAATGTAATTTAATTAGTTTGGTAATTTTTCTTGGAGAAAAACGATGATATAAATCTATGACTAGCAGTGACCGATCCAAAGGGGTCAGTTGACCCCGTGGAGGCCGGAAAGCTGGCTGGGGAGGGGAGCACCTCCGATGACCCCGTCTGAGTTTTTAGCAGTTCGTGCACAAAGGTGTTCGACGAAATGCTGAATGAAACTCGGCAGCTGCCTAGCGCACAGGTTTTTTTTTTTTGTTTTTTTGTTTTTTTGTTTTTGTTTAAACAACCTGGCCAAACGACTCTGTTTTAGGTCAGGTTTGCAAAATAATAATAATAATAACGACAAAATCAAACACCTTTGCAGTTGATAATTCATAGTGTTTAATTGTGACTTCTGTTTCTTACATAGCAGATTCTGCTTCACTAAGGTAATTAAACTTTGGTCCTTATGTGTGCTTTAATTGATATTGTGAAATTATTGGAACTATATTACAAAGGGAAATTTGCATAAGCTAGTTCGGGGGGTCTATTGAATTATGAATTTATGAATGAATGTACTATTGTTTAACTTTTCATTGTTATTTTCGTTTTAAAAAAATCGCAATTTTTACATCTTGATCCCATACGGTAAAAATCATGAATTGCACAAATTAAAAAATGGAACTTTAACGAAAAGCTCATAGTACTGTTCACTTTAACGAAAAATCACATTTTTACACTAAAAAGTCAATCCTGATACTATTCATTTTACCTTTTATTTTATCCTTATCGTTAAAACTCAAAGTTTTCAAATCTTTTTCATTAGTTTTCCTATTAAAAAATGTATATTGTGGATGAATTTGATGTAGGTCTCAGGAGATGTGGAAAGAGCTGCCGACTGAGGTGGCTCAATTATCTTAGACCTGATATCAAAAGGGGTAACATAACTCAGGAGGAAGAGGATCTCATCATTAGGCTCCACAAGCTACTAGGCAACAGGTTCTCACTTATTTCTAACCCTAACATATTTTAATCATAAGTAGATAATCTTCGTTATTTGCAAGTCACATGTTAACACATATGGGAGAGTAAATCAATACAATCACATAAACAGCGGATGTCAAATTTTAATTTTTCTGCAAGTAGGAATGGCTACAAAGAACAAAGTATTTTCCTTGTCTTAATTTGGCTTTATATTTGTATGTGGATATGTGCAGATGGTCACTAATAGCAGGAAGAATTCCAGGACGAACAGACAATGAAATAAAGAACTACTGGAACACATACTTGCGAAAAAAAGTGAATGGTGCTGAAACACCAAGGCTATTAGGAAATAAGGTGGATGAGAACAATAAGAAGAAGAGGAAGAGAGACAACTCAGAGAAGACCAACCCATCTGTTAATAAAACCAAACCACGGGCCATGGTGAAGTCCGACAGCTTTGCAGTTATCCGTACGAAGGCATCAAAGTGCAACAAGGTTCTGGTCATGCCGGACCAACTGCTTGATCATCAGATTAATCATGGGTTGTTAGAAGACACTACCACTACCATTTCAGAATATAGCATGTTGGATTTTGATGTGGGGGAGCTCTTAGTGTCTGAAAATAATGATATTCCAGATGATTCAGACTTCTGGAAAATATGTCAGCAGTTGGAAGACAACACTAACAATGGTGGCTCGAAGAACAGATGCCCGTCATCGACATCGCTTGCACCTCTTTTGTTCTCAGATGAAATGCTCAAGGATTGGATGAGAGATGACTTTTTCAACCGTCAGTGTTGACTCTAGATGATCTCTTTAATTATCATTACCCTATATATATATATATATATATAGGCTCTTCCGAAATCTCATGCACTTAATTGGGTTGTCTTGAATTTTATCTCAGATATTGAATAATATAAAAAATCAGTAAGCCGAACATAGAGTGCGTGATTAAAAAGGTACTTGCACCGCAACGGATGCGTAGAAGTATAGATTGTCTTGTGGAAATAAATGAACAGCGAGATTCCAATTAGAGCAACTCCACCATTGCAAAAGATCCAGGGCTATTCACTGTTTAATCCATCCAGTGAACAGTAACTGCTTTTTGTATCTTCACCCTTACATTGAATAGCCCTAACAATAAACAATAAAATATTAGTAATTTTTAAATTTATAATTAATATTATATTATTAATTTATCTTTTCCTTTTGGAAATCTCTTCCTATCTCTCGAAACTTCTACCATTTTTTTTGCTGCACTTCCGACACATAACAGAGTAGCACACCTGAATGCCTTTCTTAATTTTTGCTGCACTTCTGTAGTCCATGGCTTTGCGAAACGATGTGGTGCAGAGGGGTGCCGTGAAGCTATATCGTCCGATTAATTTCAGAACGTCATCGTTCAAGTCTCGGCTCCCTCCTCAATCTCCTGGATCAGCCCTGTGTCGGAGCAGCCCCGCGCTGTTTGGCTCCGCAACTTCCAAGGATGACGGAGATCAGTTTTTGTTTCCCCAAATGGGATTCGATTGAATTTTGGAGAAAAATGGAAGCATTATTTCAATTAATCATTTAAATAAATGTTTAGAATTTGGAAAATGGAAGCTTAACTTTTTTTTAATCGAATAGTACCCGGAAGAGTTCGAGTAGCTGTAAGGTTGAGGCCTATAAATGCAGAGGAGATGATGGCTGACGTCGCCCAAACGTCAGCCTTGCGTCACGTGGCCTTCAGGCTCTCGGGCTGGCAACTCATGCCGAGCCTCTCCCTCATGCCCGCTCGGGCTCCATCGCCAACACACGTTGGACCTCCCCACTCGGGCTCTCTGGCTTGTTTGAGAGCCAGTCCATCGGGTAATCGCCCACGGTGGAACTGCTTTTATAGAGCACTGGACCATGACCCCTAACTATAGGCTTAAAATTAAACCTTCTTAATTATGCGTTTCTTGTCTACTCAACAACTTTTCATGACCTTTAGTTAGAGTAATGTTAGGAAGATTAAATTTGGAGACTAAATTTACAAAATAAATGATGTATCACTAATAGGAATAAGCACGTTTTTAAACGTTTAAGTGATAAACCAGTCATCAACTTCCATGTCCTTTAATTTCAAAACTTTGTTTCCAAATTCAGTCTCTCTAGCATTACCCTTTTAGTTAGAACAAATTAAATATATATAGTACCAGGTGATTTTGAATGTTATTGTCCACCATATAATATTTACTTTGATAAATTTATTGATTTAGAGTAATTATTTCAATTAGTTTACATTATTTAATCATGATTTCAAAGTAACTATTCTTCTATGTTGATAACGTGTGAACTAATCGATGGAAATCAACATAGAATTTCGCTGTCCATAACAAAAATGTGATAGAAACAATTCAACTAGATAGTTAAAAAAAAAAAACTCCTAATGTAACCAAGTAGTCAAATATATATAATAAATCGAAGGAAATTCATTGATACAAAACTTCTTATCATTTCTTTCGGAAGTTGTTGTTAAATTCCATTGAAAACTTTTTTTAAACTTCTAGATTTCAAAGTTTATCGTCAGAAGAGTATGCTCAATGTCAATAAGTTGATATATTTTTAACTATGTAATATCCGTAGGACCCTCTTCAGTCTGGCTAATTGTGTTTTATTAATATAATCATCAAATCGTTCTTGTTTTCAATGAAATCCTTGTTTGAACATCACATTGTCATAAATAAAAAAATGATTATTATAACTAACCTAATACCAAAACAATGAGGTATCGATCATCTAATAAATTAATAAACCAAACCTCGGTTTTTACAGTTGTGGTGGTCCTGGGGGACTTGGATCGAAGAACACCAAATTGTGGTCGCTAGCTTGCAAATGGGGAGTAAATCCCTTTTATGTTCTCAGCCACAAACCCTCCAACTTTCATTGTTTTCTAGCCATTTCTTTCACCGTTTGACAGAGTGAGAGTTAAAAAATTTGTTTTGGTTCCAGGCTTTCAGTTAAAAAAAGTATTTTGGTTCCGGTCCCCACTGAGGGCCGGAGAACTAAAATCAAGCCGGCCCTAATTTGTTTTTTAGCTTCAAAGAGTGGCATTGCGGGTGCCAAAGTGACAACTAAGTAAGGTAATTAATAATACAACAAAGTTCCATGACACTATTAATTAGAGATTAGTTAAGCATATAGTCCATACCTGCCAGAACCTAGGTAACACATCAGTCCAACTGATGACGCCGGATCAACTACGACCAAATCAATAGTTTTGTATTATTTTATTTTATTTTTTGCTAAAATCTGAGATATCTTACACTCTAAAAGATAGATCTAATCCCCAATTAAGTTCGGAAATACCAATAATTTTGTATTTGAACACGACTTTTTTCTACCGTTATAAAATTATTTCTCTTACTTGCACTCCCTTTTTCTTTACCGTTGAATGTAATGGATCAAAAGAAAATCAACGGACAAATTTAAGTGGGAAGTGGAAGTCAATCTACAAAAGTTAATGCAAAGAACTCATTAAAACAACAAAAAAAACGAACTTATTCATACGTGTTAACCAAGGATTTGTCAGCAAGTTGTACAATTTGTATTGCAGATTTTTTGTTTCACCGATTTTCCATCACCATTCTTTTAAAAATGAATATGTAAAACTGATCTTGGATCCCTTTTTTTCTGATATACTATATGATTTTTCTGAAGTTAAATATGATCAAACAACTAAAAATTGAAGATGAAGATCACAGAAAGAATCCTGATATTTGTATTGCATGTATGAAAGGTTTTGCACGTAGCGCTGTTGTTGAGCATGAGTTCACCACACATGAAAACTCAAACCTCTGATACCATTTTTGCAGTCAGTTCAATTCTTTAATTTTGGATTTTGGATTCTAACCACGTTGTTAAAAAGTTGATTAACAATTAAGATTGAATTATACAACAAAACCTTGTATATAAACTGAGAAGGATGGACTGGGAAGAGGACCTTGGACTGATGTTGAAGACCAAATTCTGCTCGAGTATGTCAGGGAGATGGGGGAAACTATCGAGGGAAACAGGTGAGTTGGTTTCGATTCTACGTACGAGCTTCTTAGTTACAATGCATGAATGTTATGAAATACGCGTTATTCGGTGCAGGTCTGAAGAGATATGGGAACCGTTGTAGGCTTAGGCGGTTGAATTATCAGAAGCCGGATATCAAGAGAGGCAACATTACAGAAGACGAAGAAGACCTGATTATCAGGCTCCACAAATTCTTAGGCAACAGGTACTTACTACTAGTACTTAAAAGTTAAACCTTGTAAGCTTCGTTAAATAATATGTCCTAGTTATGGGTGTTTTATGTAGATGATCATGGATAGCCGGAAGGCTTCCAGGTCGAACAGACAATGAGATCAAGAACTACTGGAACTGACAGGAAAACCATCGAAGACTTCGCTGAAGAGGCTGCGTCATCATTAGAAACCGACTCTCATTTTACCAAAGAACTCAGACAACCGAGCGATGGAATTGAAGCAAAGAATACATAAGCAGAATCAGATTCCAGCGACGGATTCTTATACCAAACACTAATGACAGTGATATGCGGTGGATCTTCATAATGGATCTCAACGCAGGGCAACTTAGCGTATCTGAGTTTCTCCATACCGACTTCTCAAAGCTTTGTGAACTGAATACGGATTGTTGATTGCACGAATAGCTGCACAAACGGGTCATTAATGTCAACCCCAACCACCGAAGCTCCTTTGCATTTGGAGCAGTTGCTAAATGATTGGGAAGCTTACGACTTTTGTCTGCCCTAAAGTTTATTTGGGTTCTTGATTCTTTTCCTTTGAATGTCAATATGAGCACTAAAATGGCCTCGTATGTTTGCTTATCGTGCATCCTTCATCCAATATTTCCCATGTACGGCAACTACCATTTGTGTTTGGTGCTACAAAGGGAAAATTTTGCCAGGCTTTCTTGGTCTAGTTTCGAAACTACACGTCCTTTTCCCGGGAGATAGCTTACAGGATAGGTCTGTCGGATTTTGCCCTAAATGGGACACTGTTTTTAGTGTTACCGGTTTTGATTAACGGAGAGATCGTTGTGGTTACTTGTCATTTTCATTGCATCTATGACCTAATTAAAGTGAAAAAAGCAACATATACATGAATACGAATTACTAATTCGATGAGATAGTAGACATAACCAACATTTTCCAACATGAATCAATATGTTAATCTAAAAAGGAGAATTTAATTCAACCTCAAACTTTGTCAGCAACAAAAACTACTAAAAAAAGCTTGAAACTCAAGCTAATAGCCAAAAACACATCAAAATTGCTAGGTTAACAAAAGAACTACACGCCATGATTAACTGGCGTACCTTCCTAGTTTTGTCCCATGACAATGCTCTACCTTATTCATCAAAATCTTCACCATCCGTGTCTTCCCTTTCGTCCATGTTCTCGTCATCCTCGTCGTTTTCCTTCTCCTTCCCACGGTCTCCTTGCACATTTTCTACTTTACCATTACTAATGCCATTGAAATCCAACCTACTGAACCCCATTTCGGAGATTTCAAAATTCCCATTAGACAGATTATGTGTAACTTCTGTCCCTCTCCCTGCTACAAAGGCTTCTAAAAGCTCTGAATAACCTTGCCTTTGAATGCTAACATCCATGCTAACCGAAGATGAAGATGAAGGGACGGTGGTCGGCGTTTTTGAGTACAGCTGACCCAACTGATTAAAATAAGAACAAGTTTTCGACTGAATAGGACGCTTTTTTGCAGTGTCTTTGGTTCTCCTAAAGTACTTGTTGATGTTCTCCCACTTTTGCTTGCACCTTCTGGCACTCTTCTGATAGCCCATTGAAGCCATTAAAGCACTCACCTCTTCCCAGACATGCCCTTTTGACCCCAGTTCCACAAATTTCGATTCTACACTACCTCGCACTAGAATCAACGCCTCGACTTCACTTTGAGGCCATCTGCTATTTGTGCGATCAGCTTGGGAGGGTGTCAATTCCACTGCGGTTTGGGGTTCGCTTACATTATCAGGCTGCAACAACAGTGGGGTTTGCCTAGGAGGAAGGCTGACTCTTTGGCCAGTGATTTCCTCAATGTATGAAACAATGAGAGCTTCTCTGCTTGAAGCTAGAGCCTGCTCATGGAGTTTGGCCATGGTTTCTCTCTTATGGTTCTCCTCCGCTTGATATCTCCATGCCACTTCTCTCTCCCTTCTCTCTTTCTCCATTTTTTCAATCACTTCCAAATACTTTTTATGAAGATTCTCTTGGTGATCCACAACCTGCTTCACCAAGTTCTCGAAAAACCTAGTCATTGAACTTAATTGCTCCTTCATTTTCGACTTTCTCTTCCTCTTCTGAATCTTCCCCACTGAACGCTCCTCTCCAATGGACGCTTCCGACACATTATCCACCCTAACATTATCAGCTGGAGCAGCATTGAGGCCATTAGGATCAACAAAAACCACAGGAAATTCCACATTTTTCGAGCAGTTTTCGCCGGTGAGCGCAGAGCCAGAGCCGGTTTGATTCTGATTAGCCTCCCCCATCTTTGCTAGGTTATAGATTGCTTCAAGCTCACCATAAAGCCTGTGTTTTCCCTCCAAGTCTCTGCAACTCTCCCCTTCTTCCTGCCTCTGCCTTTTGTTTGTTGTGTCGGCGACTACCGCGTCAAGAGGCTTCCAACTGCGGCATTAACACAAACACGTGGAAGGTAAAAACAAAGGCAGCATGAAAGACAGAGAAAACACAGAACAAGTACAACAAAAGCACGTAAATTTCTGCACTATCGATCAAAATTACCACATTGATTCTCTTCTAATCCCGTAATATTCTTGGGTTTTCCAATTTTTGAATCCTAAGTTATGTGGTCCACTGCTTTCACTGAGACCAAGCTTGAAACTTGGAAGGCTCGGCTGCCATGGCAGCCTGCCTTCTTCCTGCTGTTCCTGCTGCTGCTGCTGCAGCAATGCTTGGAATTGGAGCTGATTCTGTCGTTGGAACAAGTCGTGGGTAATCGGAATCGGATGAGCTAATTGACTGAGATGATAACATGGCTGCGGCTGCTGCGGATGAAATTGTTGATGCAAAAAGTTCTGGTTTTGCTTCTGAGGATTGAAGACTGGTAAAACTGATGAATTAGAATCCATAAAGTGCTGATTTCCAATCTCTGCAGCTCCAAAATTCGAATGCATATCTTTTTTTTTCTTCAAATCGAAAAAAGAAAGAAATGTTTTCGTTACTGAAAATTTGAATTTTGAAAGCAATGCAATTTGAATTTTTGTTCTTGTTCTTGTTCTTGTTCTTATTGGGAATGAAATCTTAACAGAAAGATCCTCTGAAAGTTTCAATTTTCAAACGCATAACAGACTGAAACTTTCAGAGAGTGAGAGTAGGAAAGGATAAGATTTTGGAGCTCCCAGAATTCATCTTGTCACACCATATATTATATTTAAATACTACATGATATAATAGGTTTTTTTTTCTTTTTTTTTTCCGTCGAGCGATAAATTTGTTTATAATCGAATTTTTTGTATAAATCATTGAAGAAAGTTTTCAACCATCAACCGTCATATTAAATAAGGTCTCCCTAGCATGTTTCCTTCTTAAATATTGTTTTTGAAAGTTAAGTTAACAATGTCCTTTTGGGTTGTTAGAGCATCATAGCTATTGTTAATGTGTATTTAACAATGTGATTAAAAAAATTTCTGATTTATTTTATTTCGACGCACGTTTGCTATACACAAAATGTTCTTTCTGACAAGAGTACACATTGCACTCATCGTTGTCGTCGAGTTTAAATTAAGTCATTCGTGTTCTGACACGTCTCGTGACTTTTTAAACTCTATTTGACACTCGTTCACCCTAGGCGAGAAGTTATTTGTCACACAATTAGACGTTTGATCAATCTTTATCGTCAAATTTGAATCAAATTAGTATATGTTGTGACACGTCTCGTGACTTTTAAATTTCTTTCTGACACTCAATTACTATACGTAGAAAGTTAATTGTGACCTAATCAACCATTAGGTCAATCTTTAACATCAAATTTGAATCAAGTGAGTTGGATTGTGACACATTTTATAACTCTTTTAAATTCAATTTAACACTGCATATAATGAATTACCTTATTAATTAGAGTCTTCGTCTTCGTCCCAGTAAGATAGTATCGTTGTGGTAAAGATCATAATGTCAGAAGAATTATTGCTACAAAATATAAAAAAGAGATCATAAACGTCTAACTCGTAAAATCGATTTTCAACGAAATGAAAAAATCTGAGAGAGAGTAATTTGTAACTCCATAAGACATTAGGTCAATATTTACCGCCACATTTGAACAAAACAAATTGTGACACCATTACAACTTGTACCTAGTTCCTATTCAATATCTAGGTTTGGTCTTTTGAGGGAATTTGCTCCTTATCTCTTCTTGATGGGTGACATAGTCGCATCCACACAGTGACACGCGTCCAAATCTGGAAATATCTGTTGTCGTCCGACATGAAAGATGAAGTGACACTGACATACTTTTTGGAAGCATACGATGTATGTGCACGTGAAGAGGAGAGCACATTTTGGCCTCGCTGTCGACTGTCTATCAATCGTTAATTCTAATGACCGGTGGTGATGTAGAATCCCATCCAACGCCCAGTATTCAAAGTTAGCTTCTGTTTGACAATTGTAGCATTATTCGTATACGCCACCATACGACTCTCTCTCACCCTTTTCTGTGTCAAAAGGTGAATGCCGAAATCTCGGCGGCAAATAGTCCGTTCTTGTTCAGAGAGGATATTTTATGACACGATTATACTGTTATTTTATCATTTTTACGTTAGTTATATAATGTCGGGTTAATTATATATATGAAATTATGATTAACACACGAGATGTCATGGAGTTAGCATATATATATCAATAAAATCTATCTCCTCATTTTAAAGGTGGTTTCTTTTCCCAAAACTGATTTTATTCATTAGTGATTTGGTGTCACTTTTTATTAATTATTGCCACGCGAAGCATAATTTTTTACTAAATACTGTAGAAGTGATTTTGGTTTACCTATATAATTGTTCTCAAACGAGCCGTGTTATACAAAACTCATATAGAGTTGTTATTGACATTTGGAAGTAACCACAAACCTTAAAATTACTCATCTATTTTGGTCTATAGTGGAGTTGGGTTCTAAATTTAGGTGCTCGACAGAAAAAGTTAGTTGGTATGGGCTCTGCCAGACGCCTCTTCAAGTCGCTCCTTGGGTCTCCCCCAATTGTGTAATTTTGTTCCAAATTGTTCATCAAAATAAAACCCACTTGGATAAGTGTGGGTTTAGTCCTGTTCATAACTTTCAAAATTTCACCAAAATAGAAAGAATAAAAAATAAAAGTTTTTTTTAATCACAAATGATCTTTGAAATTGATCATCACCATTAAGATAGTTCCTGAAATTGAAAATCAATCAATGTAGTCTCTGAAAATAGGTGTCGCAAATTAATGTAGTCATTCCGTCACAAATGATCGTTGAAAATTGACCCACAACATCAAAATGGTCCCTGAAATTGACCTGCAACATCAAAATGGTTCCTAAAATTAAAAATTGATCAATGTAGTCCTGCAAGTAAGTGTCTCAAATCAATGTAGTCACTCCGTCACAATTGTATCAAAAATTCTGTTATGTGCTGATGTGACACATAAATGGGTCACACATGTCTAATTAAATTTAAAAACATTACAAATAGGCTTAATAATTTAATAGTTAATAAAAAATTGTCAAACCAAAAATCCAGTCCTGCAATCACCTCCAATCCATTCTCTACCTTATTCGCTCTCTATTCTCTAAAAAAAATCTCAATACACTCATATTTACACACTTTGACACCCTTCATTGAATTGAACCTGGATCAAGATCCCCTTTAGTGACGGCTTGGCATGTTGGCAACAACTTCTAGAACATCACCATTAATATTTAGGCGATCAACATCCTCACAACCATAATCTTGGAGAGCTTGTTCGGCGCTTCCCTGGTGGTCTGATGATGCAAAGAAAAATGAGGTCTGCCTTGAGATAATAAGGTTATAACTGAGGTGCATCCATTGTTGGTTGAAAACTATTTCCACACTCCATATTAGGCCTTGGTTAAGCCTTATGCCTTTGAGAGCTTATAAAAGAGATTTTTCTTCGGAGTATGCCTTAATATAAGGAAAAAAAAAATTTCATTGTGCAAAAAGGTACTTAGACAAAAATTTTAATTAATTATTTGTTGGGGCCCAAAAATGTCACACACCAACCCAACCAAGTTTCAAGGCTCACTTGTCATGCAAAGCCTACATTCAAGCTCAAACACATGCTAAAGCACGTGATCGACGAGGAATATATTGGCAAACATGCCATGCCACGCCATGCTCATGCCCATTCATCATGACATGCTTCCTTAGCCACAAATCATGCTAAGCTCAAGTCACATATTCGGGGCTTGCCAAGTGGACGGTTACAGAAGGTTATCGGGCCTACATGGAATCGGGGTCATGGAAGACTTTGGGCTGCTTGGGAGCCCAAAGATCCAAGCCCATACCCTTTGTATTTCACGCAGGCATCATTGTGAGAAAACTAGCCTAGTTTATCCATTTCCCTAGCAAGCCAACCTCCTTTCTTAGGATTAAACTAAATTCTTGCATTAAATACCTGTTAAACCCAGCAAGTCAGGCATTTAATGCTGACTTTCCCTTCCCAGCTTGCACAGAAAGTCAACGCGCAAAAGCCATGAAGTGCGCTACCAGATTTAGCGCCTTGGGAAAACCACATCTCAGGAAGAAGCAATTTGCAGGTCTCAACAGTGCATTTAGTTTACACCAAAAGTGGAATAATATGATAGTTAGGGAGAAAGGAAGGGAAGACCAAGTCACAAAGGGATATTCCCTTGAAACCTAGATAAGAAGCCTTCTCTTACATAAGGAGAGAGATGAGCCATTAGAAAGGGATTCAGATTAACAGAGATAAGGAGATAGAGAAAACGTAGTGAGAGAGAACCACCCAAGAAGAAACCCAGAAAGTTCCATTTAGCCTGTAAGCATACTTTAAGCCCCATGCATCAACATCCATGCAACCTTAGTAATTTCCATAGTTTTGCATCAAACATCCCAATCATTAAAAACCTTACTATCACCCTAGGAAAGGCCAGATTATCTAGCAAAAAATGCCATGCAACCATGCAAATCCATTCTCTCTCATGTAAACTGATAATCTTCTTGCTTCCACACCACGCTTCACTTGAGTAAGTCATTATCTTGATCTTTCATGCTATCTTCGAGCCGTTGATGCTACCAGGACATTTCCTAAGACAAGCTATCTCTGTCGAGATATCTCAGGACTTGTTGCAAATCTGCACCAAGGGAGACAAAAGGACGTTCTCAAAGCCCAAGTCCACCTCGACCTAAAAGTCCCCCAATATTATTAAACCCACATCAACACATAACAAATATTTTTTACAGAATTGTGGTGGAATGATCATATTGATTTGCGACACCTATTTTCAAGGACTACATTGATTGATTTTCAATTTCAGGGACCATATCGATGGTGTAGGTTAATTTCAGGGACCATCATGATGGTGCAGGTCAATTTTAAGGACCATTTGTGATAAAAACTCGTAAATCTTATGGGTGATAAAAACTTGTAAATCTTGTGGGGCCTATTTATATGCTATATTAGCACTTAATGGAATTTTTAACAAAATTGTGACGGAATGACCACATTGATTTGCGATACCAATTTTTAAGGACTACATTTATTGATTTTTAATTTCAGGGATCATCCTGATGGTGATGGTCAATTTCAAGGATCATTTGTGATAAAAATCCAAAAATATAATACATCCTACATCTCTTATGTTACATACTCATCTTTCATCATGTTCGTTATTTTTATTTAATTTATTTAATTCAATAACTAAGAATAAAGAAGAGTATACGAGAGACTAAAACCTGTGTTTAAAATCAACTCTATAAAAAAAAAGCACATTGCATGGTCGTTCATCATTCTTCTATCTTCATCTTTATTTTCAAGTTAAAATATAGGTTTAAGAGAGTACTTGCAGCGTAGTAATTAAGAACATTTTATCTTTACATTTGAAAATTTGTGTGTTTAAATTTCATTTCCTCAATAATACTGCTTCTATCAAGAAGTTTAAAGGGGCAGGTCAAAGCTTGAAACAACAAAGATTATGTCGGGACGCCCCAAATTTTGAATGCCACTAGGCAGAAAGTCGAAGCTTTAACTGCATTAATGGGTATGCATCCAAATTAATTAAAAAATGGGAGTGATGTAGTGCGTAGTGGGCGAAACTATATTTAGATCAGAGCGAGCACAACCTTCCTCGATCTTATTGATTCTCACAAGGAGAATGCCAAAATGTGAGCATCCATAAATCCGTTGGTTCTGCAAGAAT